CCACTCCCCGCCTCATCTTTTCCATCTCCTTTTTCCCCTGAACAACTTGAGCATTATCAGTACCTTCGCAAACAATAACTGTAAATTCAATGAACGATCAGTGTTGAGCATTACTAATTGTTTCAAAGCATCCGTAACGACTAATCCAGCGCATATGTTGCCTGATGATGATCGAAGCTGAATACAAAAGAAATGATTGTCCGTATAATTATCGAATGAAATCACTCGAATCACCTCCATTGCCACCTCCGCAAAGGTTACACGTTTTCTTGCAGTATTGTGCGGCGTAATCTTTGTATTCTGTGCAAACGTAGTCTCGACCTACACAGTCCGGATTCGCATCTTTGCATTCTGCAATGTATTTGTTGTTTTTTTTCAGGAAATTTTTAACATTTCCTAATGATTATATGCGTGGAGAATTAGTTGTGATGTTGAAGTCAGGAAATTTACATAATTGTGTACGTGTAGTTTCTTATGGCAAAAATTTTTGGTTAATCTTCAAATTCACCTTCTGCATTCGCTAACACGACGATCAGAACAACTGATAGAGCGAGGCAAGTAAGTACTTGAATCTTAGTGAACATGTTTTGTCCTGAAACCGACGATTCAACATTAGTGCATGAAAATAGCGTATTTATTAATGGAACGTGACCGACATTCATATCAAAAACCTCGCTCATCCCATCTATTCTTATGCTACAAGTAGAGACCGGTGTTCACCAAGGAGCAACTTCTTGATCTCATCAGCGGTCAACTCGTCGAAGAGGACGACGATCAAGAAGCATAGCAGCGGAAGTGTCCGTGAACAGCTCCCCGCTGGCGTTCGCGCACCTCGATGAATTCTACTCGAGGTTCTTGCCGGCAACTGTCTGTTGGGTGTTGCTAACCAATAGAATAATTCTGTTCCTGTTGCCGAATCTTCCATGGTGCACGATGTTTTCAGGATTTTAATGCGTAATCGATGAGTACCGAATGAATAGTGTCCGTCATCCATAATTCTTCCTAATTAAGCATTCTAATCTTCCTGACTTTCAAGGATAATATTATGCTCTTCTCCAGATTCCAGCAACCGTCAATACTTGAAAATAAACTGCGTCTCCGATTGGAACAAACATCAGGTGATGATATGTTGAAGGAGATGTTCTAACTCAGTCAATAGCTTACGCAGCAAAATCATGAAAATTGCTGCAATGAA